GGCTGAAATAACACTGCAGCCTTTTCCCCTCCGGCTTCCTCCAGCAGGGTGGGGTCGCTCTGGGGAGTCCAGGGCTGGACTCTCATGGAGGGAAGCCAAGGAGCAGGAGCCTGGGAGCTGAATTCCAGCCCGGGGCTGGGTCTGTGCACGGAAAACAAACCTGCTCCGCTCAGCGGCTTCTCCGTGGCTGGGCCCAGGGGAATCCAGGCCTTGCAGTCCCTACCCCCACGGCTCCACCCTGCCCATCCCCGCCCAGTGCCATGCTGGCAGGTGAAGCAAGGTGCGTGCCAGAAATTCCAGGCACATTCCTAGATGACGGCGCAAAGCCGGTGACACCCGTGTCCCAGCACGTCCCAGGCAGTTCTTCTTCCTCTGATCCCTACCGATGCCAGGGACACAGGAGAAGGAAACGCAGATCCCGAAAGTTCATTCCTTTCTCAGATGGATCGGCTCCGAGCTGCCTGCAGCCCCAGATTTGACTCAGCCAGGCAGGGCCCGATCCCTCTGCAAGGGAAGTCAGTAGGACATTAGCATTCGCTCCAGAATTAGCCTCCCAAAATCTATTAGCCATCCAGGGCAGCATCAAGGCAACTAATGCAATCGGCATCCAAAGCGTGCAGTTGCCACTTTCAGTTCCCCAGGCTTCTCCTTTCTGCAGGGAACACTGCACCGCAGTTGAAACAGAGGACACTGAGTCATCAGATGTGGTATCTGTTTCTGGCCCTGCAGCCTCTTGTGATAGGAGAACCATCAGCGGTTATCACTGCCTCCTTTTTGACCTTGCTCGGAGGTAGGGTGCTCGTCAGAGAGCGTCTTATGGGGCTGGGGGTGGAAAAGGGAGTGTTAGGAGAATAAAGGCAGAGCAGGAAGACCCCATGGATTTGCGAGATGTGGAGCAACTAATTAGGACCAGCCTCGTTCAGGCATGATAAGTATTCACCCAAGGTTAGCAGGAGTTGCTAGTTTTTTTCCTAGTCTAACAGCAAGGGAAAACCCAGGGCAAGATAGGAATGATGGATTGGAAGTATCTGCAGTAGCCGGGCATATTCTTAAGCCTTGGACACAGCGCGTTCTTGCTACCAGGGGAAGGTAATGTGAACAGGCCCCGTGCCAGAGGCTGCATGGGCAAAATGTTCCATCAACTCATCTCCGGTTACCGGAACACAGCTGTCTTTTCCGCAGGCCAAAACGTGCCCGATCCCACATCTCCCTCTTGTGTTAAAGCAGCGCATAGGCAGAGATAGTCCTGTTGCCTGTTCATCTCTATAGGCGTTCTCCCTCCAAAGCTTCCCTAAGTCATTTATAAAGTTAAAATGCTGGGAATGACAGGTTTTACCTCTTGCCGCGCTGCAGCTGCTTCTGGGGTGGAACTTGACAGTGGAACAATGCTAATGTATGAACAAGGAGGAGCTGTGGAGCATTGCTTTGAGCTGCGAAACACTGTGTATCTGTGCTGCGCTTGTGATGACCTTAGCTGTTACCACACAGCAAAAAGATCTGGCTGTCACTGTGGGCAATTCACTAAAAACATCAGCTCAGCAGCTGCCAACAAGGCATGCAGCGTGTTAGGGATGATTAAGAAGGGAATCATGAAGCAGACAGAAAGCATCGTCGTGCCTATTTACAACCCCCTGGGGTGTCCACACGTTGAATCCTGTGCCCAGTTCTGGTCCCTGCACCTCCAAAAGGACCTAGAAGAGCTAGAGAAGGGCAACAAGGATGATGAGTTTCATGGAGGGTCTTCCAGAGGAGAGACTGCAGAGGCCAGGCCTGGTCAGTTTAGCAAAGAGACATTTGAGGGGGGACAAGAGATGGGCTTACAAAATAGTTGAAGAGCACTGCCCCCGAATCAGAACTTCCTAGACCCAACTTTTTTTTTTTTTAAAGGAAAATTGTGTCCCAGGCCAAATTAGCCAGATCAGGTCCAAATCCGTTTGAATCATTCAGGAACCATGTGTGGCAGTGCTACCGGCATGTATCCTTCACCCTAGCCTGGGGCTTCAGAGGCTTCCAAATCCTTTGGCAAGGATCCAACATGCAGGCCCAAGCCCGGAGGCTTGGGGTTTGGTTGCCCCCAAGTTTTGCTTGCCCTCAATTTAAAAAAAATAAAATAAAATAAAAGTGTCACATACACACACTCCACCTCCAACACTGCCAAGTGGCCCTTGTGGTTCACTTGGCAGCTCAAAGCACACTAAAAACTCATCACACAGTTTGCACCATGCAACCATTTGCCCGCGCACCCATCTCCATACCCGTACCCCTACTCACTGTCCTCCTCACAGGGTCTACTCCTGAGAGTCTATGCCAGACCCCTCTCCACCATTTCTTTCATGTCATCCTCTTCTTTCTGTTGCACCAGTACATTTCACTTAGTCCCATTTTAATACAGTTTTGCTTGCCCTCAATGCTGCAGGCTGCAAGTGAGACAGGAACAGAGGGAAAACCTTGGTCAGACCCAGGTCGCTCTTCTCAGTATCTGCTCTCTGCCCCACTGGTGACCGAGCCAGAGACCAAAACATCCTGTCTAGTAAAGATTTTTGCAGGTCACCTCCTGAGATGGCGGGGGGTGTACGCATCAACCAACAGGAGACCGTGGACCATGGAGCAGCCCTGGTTCTGCAGGGTCCAGAACGAGTTCTGGAGCGAGTATGGGCTACAGAAGGAAAGCCCGGCAACTATGTCCAACCACAAAAAGATATGGAAGGCAGTCCAGGACAGAGACAGACTATCAACCATGGAGATGCTCCCTGATGAGGACTGCCAAGCCATCTGGAACTGGATCTTCCACAAGGACCTCCGCAAGGACCACAGGGACTTGAGTTCATTGATAGCGCACCGAGTACTCCCAGTGAGGGTGTGGAGGTACAGGGAGGGACGAGAGATTCAACCCAACTGCCCCAGGGAAACCTGCCAAGAAGAAGCAGAGACCATTGACCACCTCCTATGGCACTGCCCATGTGCCAAGGGTGGGTGGGGAAAGGTAAGTCGGCTCCTTGAAGGAATGAGAGGAGTCAGGTTGATGACAAGGGAGGCGGTGCTGTATGGACACCTGACTGAGCAGCAGAGGTCCCAGACAACGCACTTCAACCAGTTTGTGCCCTGTGTCAGGAGTGCCCTGTGGCAATGTTATACAGGCACGCCAAGCTCAAGGAAATGGACTGTGTTAAAAAGTTTCTGAGCAAACTTCAGTCCTACCACCATTAGAGAGGATGGAGAAGACGCAGCCAACTTCATCTGGAAAAGCGACACCTGGAGCAGGTTGTTCAAAGACCCCCAGGAGGGGAAGTGGACAGAGCCCCAACTGGACCTGGACACAGCGAGAAGGACTACAACAGGATCATCAGCAGCAGAAGTGACAGCGACCGGGACACTGAATGAACTGAGACTGTGAACCCCCTATCAGGGCTTGAACTAAGGGACTGCGTGTGGGTTAGGGGAGGGTGGAGGATGGGTGTGCAGGGGAGTCGGCGCGTTCATTGTAACGGGAACGCGGGCTTCGTAATGCAGTTTAAGATGTGTGATGGAAAGTTTATGATAGAGGATGTATATATATAATTCTCTCTATGTAGAAATATATTTTAATTTTTAAAAAGTGACACAGGAGACTGGGCAGGACGGACCTATGATAGACTCATAAATTCAGGCTGGAAGAGACATCAGGAGGTCACATCGAGTCCAACCCCCTGCTCCAAGCAGGACCAGCCCCAACTACATGATCCCAGCCGGGGCTTCGTCCAGCCGGGTCTTCAACACCTCCCAGGATGGAGACTCCAGCACCTCTGGGTGACCGGTTCCAGTGCTTCACCGCCCTCCTCCTGCGAAGGGTCTTCCTAACACCCAACCCCAACTCCCCCGGGGCTGCCACTGGAGCACGGCCCAGGAAACGACCGTTCTGCTCTCATGAGCCCCAGCGTCCCCCGGCGCAGCCCCGCGCTCTGACGCAGTAAGTGGCAGCTTTGGGGCTCTTCGTCGAGATCTGATTTGATCTGAAGCCCGTTGATTCGGATCCTCCTCTCTGAGGGGGGAAGTCGCTCTTCTCTTCAAACATCAGCTGAGCCCAACCCCTGCAGCCTCTCCCCCGTAGCTATTGCACTCAGTCCACGGTTCTCTTCTTTTGCACTGGCCAGGAAAACCCCATACAGCCTCCTCCAACCCCACATAATCCCCACAATCCAACCCCATATTTCCCCCTCCAACCCCATACAGTCCCCCGCAATCCCATATAGCCTCCAGGTGCTGGAGCGGCGCTGAGACATCCGGGGCCCCAGGGGGCGCACGCGGGTTGGATGACGTCACCCCGGGCGGGCCCCGCCCCCTGGGCAACTGGGGAGGGCGGGCAGCTCGCTGGTGTCACGTGACGGGTCATGCGTGACGCCATGGCGCAGGCACGCTGAAGCCGGCCGGCGCTGCGGGCGGAAGGACACGCGGAGAGTTGGAGGAGGTGGGGGTCGCGGGCCGAGGTCAGAGGTCATCGTGGGCATCTTTTGGTGGGGTCCGAGGTCACGTGATAGGTGTCCGAGTTGGAGGTCACCGCGGGGGTTAAAGGTCAGGAGGGAGGGGTCAGGGGACAGGCCAGGTGCCCGGGTTAGGAGGCATCATAGGAGTTAAAGGTCAGGAAGGAGGGGTCGGGGTAGCCTAAGTGCCTCAGGTTGGGGGTCACTCAGAGGCCAAAGGTCAGGAGGGAGGGGCAGGGGGCCCAGGTGCCTCTTAGGCTTTGGGGCACTCCCTGCTCTGTGGCTGCAGCCTCCCTGCCCCTTGACCCCAGCCCCCGCCCCGTGCCTGGCATGCGGAGCTCAGCCCTGGGCCTGGCTCCAGGCGCACACACGGCCCGGGATTTGCTGGGGTTGGGGGCTGTGCCCTAGGGAATAAGCCTTTTGTCAAACAACGTCTCTCGCCGTGCAGCCCAGCGCCGAGCCAGGCGGCTCTTGCTCCCGGCTGCACCGCCGCCTCCGCCCAGCCTGGGAGACTGCTGCCTTCGCCG